TTTCAGCTTTCTGCATGTGGCTAGCCAGTTTTCTCAACACCATTTATTAAACAGGGAATCCTCTCCCCATTGCTTGTTTTAGTCAGGTTTGTCAAAGATCAGATGATTGTAGATGTGTGGCATTACTTCTGAGGCCTCTGTTCTGTTCCATTGGTCTATATCACTGTTTTGGTACCAGTACCATGCTTTTCTGATTACTGTAGCCTTGTAGTATAGTTTGAAGTCAGGTAGTGTGATGCCTCCAGCTTTGTCCTTTTTGCATAGGACTGTCTTGCCTATGTAGGTTCTTTTTTGGTTCCATATGAAGTTTGAGGTGGTTTTTCCAGTTCTGTGAAGAAGGTCAATGGTAGTTTGATGGGGATAGCATTAAATCTATAAACTGCTTCGGGTAGTATAGCCATTTTCACAATATTGATTCTTCCTATTCATGAGCATGCGGAATGTTTTTCTATCTGTTTGTGTCCTCTCTTATTTCCTTGAGCAGTGGTTTTTAGTTATTCTTAAATAGGTCCTTTACATCCTTTGTTAGTTGTATTCCTAGGTATTTTATTCTCTTTGTAGTAATTGTGAATGGGAGTTCACTCATGATTTGGCTCTCTGTTTGTCTGTTATTGGTGTATAGGAAAAAATCTTCAATAAAATACTGGGAAACTGAATGCAACAGAACATCAAAATGCTTATCCATCACAATCAAGTAGGCTTCATCCCGGGGATGCAAGACTAATTCAACATGTGCAAATCAATAAACATAATCCATTACATAAACAGACCCACAGACAAAAACCACATGATTATCTTCATAGATGCAGAGAAGGCCTTTGGCAAAATTCAACAGCCTTTATGCTAAAAACTCTTAATAAACTGTATATTGATGAAATGTATCTCAAAATAATAAAAGCTATTTATGAGAAACCCACAGCCAATATCATACTGAATGGGCAAAAACTGGAAGCATTCCCTCTGAAATCTGGCACAAGGGTGCCCCCTCTCACCATTTCTATTCAACATAGTGTTGGAAGTTCTAGCCAGAGCAATCAGTCAAGAAAAAGAAATAAAGCGTATTCAGTAAGGAAAAGAGGAAGTCAAATTATCTCTATTTGCAGATAACATGATTGTATATTTAGAAGACCCCTTAGTCTCAGCCCAAAATCTCCTTAAGATGATAAGCACCTTCAGCAAACTCTTAGGATACAAAATCAATGTGCACAAATCTTATTTTTTAAATAGGTGTTTTGTCAGTGATCTTAGTAATGAGGTAATTTTAGAATTTGAAGTTATAATTCAAAGCACTTCTCAGTTCAGAAAATCAGCTAGTTGATAGCAAATTAAAGTTCAATAAGAAAAAATTAGGGCAGGAGAAAGAAAACAGATAAAAATGGTCAAAATAATGTTTGTAGTATCTGCTTCTGCATGCATTACCTGAAGGAAAATCCAGGGTCATAGGGAATATGAGGAAATTTTTTCATAGCACCACTTTAATATAGTAGGAACTGCTCACAAATGCAAAAAAAGGAAAAAAAAAAAAGCAAGCCCTGCTTCAATTGATGTTCTGTTCTAAAAAGACTATTAATACTTTAATCTGTTAAGAATTAAGAGAGAGTACATACCTTCTTGGGAAATATTAAATGTTCATTTTCATTATTTACTCCAATTATTTGAGCATAAATTGAATTTTAAAAGACTTTCTGAAAGTTACTACTGATTTTTCCTCTGTGAAACAGAGAATATATTTAGGAAGCTGGGTTATTTCCTAATAGCAACAACCAGTTCGGATTCTCTGGGCACAAACTAGATGTTCAATTCAACTCAATTCTGACACTAACTACCTGGAGTTAGCATCAGACTTCACAGGTTTAAGGGCTCCGTTCCATCAGACTGCACTCAGTTTAAATACCACTTGCAAGTATTGCACTCTGACTTAGCTGTAATGTCAGAGGTTCCCACAACCCTCCTAGTCAGGCTTGATAACTTGCTAGAATAGCTCACAGAACTGAGTAAGGCACATCAAATCATATTTCCAGTTTACCATAAAGGATATAGCGCAGGAACAGCCAAATGGAAGAGATGCATAGGGCCAGGTATGTGAGGATTGCAAAGAGCTTCCACACCCTTTCTAGGTGTGCCACCCTCCCAGCATCGTGATATGGTCAGCAACCTGGAAGCTCTCTGAACCCCATTGGTTAGGGGGTTTTATGGAGATTTCATCAAAAAAGCATAGTGCATTGTTTATTCAGTCTCCCGTCCCTCTTATCTCCCTGGAGTTTGGGGAGTGGAACTGAAAGTTCCAAGCTTTTAATTATGGTTTGGTCTTTCTGGCAATTAGTTCCTATCCTGAAGGTTTCTAGGGTCCTGCCATGAGCTACTCAGGAAATTCTAAGGGATTTAGGAGGCTTATGTCAGGAACTGGGGACAAAGGCCAAATATATCTTCCTTTTTATGTCACAGAAGTTCATTTTTTCTTCCGTGAAACATTAGGGGAAACAGAATTATCTTTATTTTGCAAATGATGCTTTGAGGATAGGAATGCTGTTCTAAAATTAAGAAGGCATACATTTATAAACACACACTTTCACACAAAAACATGAGGAAGCAGTTTTAAAAGCCTGGTTTTGTTTGGTTGTATGTTGTAGTTCTACGTGTAAATGTGGTTTATATTCTATAATCCTGTGCTAAACCTCTTTATTAGCAATTATTTCTTTTCATTTGTAATACAGATTTAATTAATGTTCAGACAAATGACCCTGACATTGATATAGTTACAATCCAGAAGAATTTTATAATTTAGTCTTTTTTTCTGATGGTTGATATTCAGCCTGATTTTAACACTATTAACAAATCATTTGTAGCAACTTAAAAATCAGAACATTTAATAAACCAGGTTGCTTAAATCAATTAATTAAATATCTCTACAGGATGACAGGGAATTTGCTGTGTTTTTATTAACCAGAGAACTTTGTCCTCTTGTACTAATAAACTGTCTTTACTAGTTTTTTTCTTTTGGCCTGGAATCCCACTATTTATATTGAATGAGAGATTCTTTTCTAAATGAAACACCTTCAAATAAGTAACTTTTAAAAAAATCAGTATCATTTTATATATTAGTCATATATATAAAATATGACTTCTTGATGAGGGTCTAAAAAAGCCATATGTCTGTGCTGTGCACATAGGGTACTTTTCTGAGAGCAATGAGTGTCAGAGTCCACTTCTCCCATCGCTGACGACAGATGGAGGATGACCCAGGGAGTAAAATGGTTGTTGATAAAGCTAAAATAAGTGGAGCTATAATTCTAATTAGTTTGTTTATCTTAATAGTACCTAGTCGTTGGAGTAGTCAACAGCTGTGAAAATACAAGGCTGTGTACTTTGATTTTGGAAATCTAGTTTCTTTAAATTTTTAATTATAATATGATATACATTCATTGTGAAAAATTAGAAAAATAACAAAGAAATGAAGATAAGAGGATAAAAATCACCAATAATTCTATATTTACAGATATATTTTATTTACTTTTTTTGTATTCCCCATTTTTCCTGTAACTAGGGTCCTTCTATACATGTAATTTCATGTCCTCATTTGTTGTACTTAACATTTTATGGACTAATAAAAAATTGCTGAAAATCTAATTTTTAATGGCTAATATTCATTTGTATAGTCATACCATTGTTAATTTAACTATTTGTCAGTCCATTTTCAATATTAACAATAATGCTGTAATGAACATATTTTACACAGATTTTTGTGTTCATTGCTAATTATAATTTAACAGCATTAAGCTGTTTGTTAGATTGTACATTAAATTATAATTGTGTTCATTGCTAATTATAATTTAACAGCATTAACCTGTTTGTTAGATTGTACAGTGCCAAATTACAGGATATCAGATAGTTACACATTGCTGTGGGTGGGAAAAGACCTGAGAAGATTTTATATGGTTGTACATGAGTTGTTCTTTAAAGGGTGTGCAGTCAGGGCTTGGGCAGCTGTATAAGAAAGTCAGGGCATCACTGGAGTGGAAAATTTATGAGCAGAGATGTGTACAGGAGTACACTTGTGCTGTAGCTGTTTGGTTGAATGTGATCCAGCCATAATGGAAGGATAGGCTAGGAAAATAAAAGGAAATAAAGTTTGAAATGTAAGGTGAGAATTTAAAATTGTGTCGGTAGGATAGGTGGGACAACTGAAAGTCCCGAATATTCAGGGTCATCTTACTTTTAGATCTTCATTAGACATTTTTAGTTAGCACATTTTATGTACACAACTCTCATGATAATCTAATAAAGCCTGGCAGAGGCCACAAGGGGCTTATACTTCAGTAGGGATGGTATTAAGCCAGTGTATGCTGTGGTCTATCATGTTGTCTTCATAAGTATGTTTATATTTTAAGACTGTGACACTTTGATGGTTTGGAAAAAGTATGCTCACAGTGACGATTGAACATTTTTGGAAGTAAAGAATAAGAATAAACTTGCAACTTCATTGATGCAAATATTTAAAAAGATTGTTCAGAACAACCCATTTGTCCAACAGAATGGGTTGGAGGAAAGGAAATTTATACATAGATGATTGAATTTAATGGTTCTCATTATTCACTGGACTCTTTACAAAATATAAAAGCCTTCAAAATATAATGCTCAAGATTTGCTGAATCAGAATTTTCAGGGAATATATTTTAAAAGCTCCCTCAGAGATTCTGATGTATGTCTCTGGTTAGAAACAACTAAATGAATTAATGTGTGTTTTTTCCACCCCAAGAAGTTGTCAAATTGTCTAAGCCTACTATTGAATCTTAATATATTTAATATGCATGTGTGTGTGCATTTTTCTTCTGCATAATTTTCTCATACTGTATTCAGTCCCTGAATTTTTTTCTGTTACTTGGTGTCGTTTTATTATAAACGTATTAATTAGTATTACTCTGAAAAATCAATTTTAAGCAAATGAAATGCACTGCACAAGTTAAAAAAAATTCTATAACGTTTTTCTTATTAAATGATAGGGACAGAAGCCAGGATGGATGTTCAAAAATGGTATTTGAGAACTTCAAAGCTGGCTCTGGCCTTGGCAATTATCCGCTCAAAACCGGCAGACAAAAGCAGCAGAGAATACACAGAACACCTTGCTATGTTGCTGTCTGAGGAGTCGTCGAAATGGAGATCAAAAGTTGAAGTCTTGGAAGCTGAAGTTTTGCAATTACGTCAAAAACTTCTTATGAGCAGGATTTGTTCAGGATTTTTTAAGAGTGGTGAGTATATAAAATTGCCTTTTGGTAGTATGTCAATCTGTTTTATTTCAGCTGCACAATTATTTAGAAATGTATTACCAAAACATGAAAATTTTTAGTTTCCATGAAAGCTCAAAATCTTCTGCTAGCCTTATTCCTTTTTTTTTCTTTCTTTCTTTTTTTTTTTTTTTTTAACTTCTGGTCGTTCATTAAAATTATATTGTCACTTTCGAATGAATGGGGCTACATTTGACTTTGGAATGAAGTTAGAGAATGGAAATAGTATAGATGTGAAGGCAATAAGGTCTTCTAAAATATCATTGTTCAACTTTATTATTTTACTATACAGTTTATTTTGCTTTTATGTTCAGTAGTTAATCTAGCAGTTCAATGTGAAATGCCAGCTATGGGTCAGGGCTGTGTGGGTGGAAAGGACTCCAAACACATAAAAGGAGGTGCCGTCCTTGCTACTATCTTCCATTCTAGTGGAGATAACAGGCGAATGAATAATTAACCTAGTTGTGATACATACTGTAATAGAGACTGACAAAATACAGAGGAGGAAATTATTCCTTCTGCCTAGTTTCGGGGAAGGCTTTTTACTTCTGGGTCTCAAAGTTCTGTCCACTTGTTAGTGAAATAGTTACAGAGCATCTAGTAAGATGCAGGAGCATGAGCAAAGGCACAGGAGTAGAGAAACACACAGTATATTCAGAGTATTGCCACCATTCCATTTCAGAATGACCAAAACACTTGTCAGGCGGAAACGTCATGGGGGAGAAAGGTAGAGAGGGGAGTTTGGGACTGGATTCAGAAGGGCCTTGAATGTCCATTTAAGGAATATTTTACTGTATTACTTATCAGTAAGTTGACCATACAATTTATGGTTTTTACTGGGACCCTTGTGAGGCTGAAAGGAAGTGTCTATTAATAATTACACTGGGAACACAGGGGCAAACCTGGGTTTACTTGAGCAAACTAGGATATGTGGTCACCCCATTAATCAGGAGCCACTGGGCTTTTTTGAAGCAGAAGATTGACATTCATGATTGGGAAACATAATTCTGGCAAGTTAAAACAAAAAACATAAATCACGCAGTGTTACTCCTTTGCATGAAACTCTTTCCTAGCTTCTAATTAGGGTTCACATTAGATCCAGACTTCTGATAGCAGCCCAAAATGCTGTGGGTGATTTCACCTCTATTAACCTCTCCCACCTCATCTCACACACTCTCACCATTATCAGCTAGGTTCTAATCGACATGGCCTTCCTTCCAGCCCTTGAAATCTCTTTATTGCCATGGACCTCTCTTAGGTGGTTCTTCTCTTTGACTCTTTGGGACTGGTCTCTTTTTTAGGTCTTATTCTAAGTGACACCTTCTCAGTGAGGTATTTCCTGACCTCTCTAGTAGACCCCCACTGGTTATTCCCTACAGAAGCACCTCCTGTGTAGTATTTACTTATTTGTTTATTTACTTCATTGCAGGTTTATCTCCTGAACTAGAGCTTAAGTTCATGGAGGAGAGACCTTTTATTTTCTTAGGTTTCTTTACTTATTGCCTAGCTCAAAGCCTGACATATAGAAGGTACTCAGCAAATGTTCGTCCAATGAAAAAGGAACATAGAAGGTGTTTTGGCTATGGTGGTGATTTGAGGCAAGGAGACCAGTTTTTAAAGTTTTGACCAAAGCACACATGAAGAATAGAGAGTTGAACTAGATTTGTGATAGTGAGAACAAAAAGGACATGTATGAATTTATTCAGACATGTATGAATAAATTTAGAGTAGACACTTCTGTAGACATTTATGAATGGTTTCAGAGAGTGGTTAAAGGGGATAGAAGTATTTAGGATAATATCTAAATACCTAAATAGGGTTTCCCTCCTAGCCTACTAAATAGATTGTGCTACTTTGAATTCAGATAGTGAACACAGAAATAAGCTTATAGGATTAAAGGTTGAAACCAAGTTTGACTGAGTGTAGGCTAATTCCTGGAATATGGATTATCTAGAGGAAGATGGACATATGGTCAGAGATGATGAGTAGGCTGGAACTACAGATGCGGATTTAGGATTTGTTAGATTTAAGGAATAGTGAATGATAGCTGTAGATGAGACTCAAACTGAACAGAGCCATGAGTGTGGGTGGGAAGACTGCAGATCCAATATTCCAGGGGTAGCAGAGGAAGATGAGGCATTATCACATTAATAGTGTGCAGGTGAAGGGTGCACACACATGCTCTGGGTAATAGGAGACTTTTGTTTTGGGAATTATCACGAAAATCCAGTAGAGTCCTTTTGGTAAGGGGTTCTTTGAGTGTATCCAGTGAATGAATGGCAAACAGTCAATTTTTCTTCATTTTTTTCCTCTGGAGTTATACAATTAATAGAATGTCTCAAACATTAAAATTTCCAGGAATCTTAAACTATGACTGTCATAAACATCTATGATATCACAACTCTTGTTTACTATCCAAGAGTCTGTTCATAATGCTAATATAATGTGCATGTTATGTTTTTGTAACGTGAGTGTGCCTAATAGGAGGAACCTAGGTGATAACTTGCTTTTATGCTGAACACTTTCAGTTATAGTGCCTGTGAGAAAAATTTTCCATAATCATATAGTTTAAGTCAATTTTACTCATGGCAGGAGTTGCAGGTACAGAGTTTCTGTGCAGATGTTTGGAAGTAATCTGTTTCTCTATCTGTTACCTTAAATTTTGAAAATGAGAAATACATGAATAGATTTAGATAAATGGAGTAATGATTAAAGGGGAGAGAAAAAATATACAAAAGGGGAGCATACAGTGACAGGAAAATCAATGAAGAATGTGGCAGCTATGTAAGGATGACATGAAATAGTGGCATGCCTTACTTTAAGAAAACTCCATACCTGAAAGTCAAATCTATATCACAGGTATATTTAAATTATTAAATTTTTTTGCTAGAATTTTCAGTTGCTTTATATGTGCAACTGTTGTTGAGTGTTTAGAGATAGCAGGTACTCAATAAATGTTGAATTAAATGATTCTTGACAGATTGTGTGGCTGGGGAACTCAGTTTACAGCATTGACTATTCATTTAAGCCACCAAGCAACCCCAAATTAAATAAAGCAAAGTGAAAATGGCAAAATAAACAAAGAAAAAAGTATGATATGCTTTTTAAACAGAATTTCAGGAACTCAGCTATTTCAGTATTTTTTTTTTCTACAGCTTCTTAATGAGTATACCTCTTTATTATATTTACTAGGGGACTAGACTATATAGGCAAGGGATGAATAGAGCTTGATTATTGAGTAATGCCACATTTTCATTTTACTTAAATGCTCTTTAGTAATTTATGGAATGACAGAATGAAAAATGAAAGGAAGGAAGAATGGAAGGAAGAAAGGAAGGAAGGAAGGAAGAAAAAGGATTCTACATATCCAATGACACATTACTCAAAATCTTTTTGGTGATGTGTGGCAGGCACAGTTAATCATCTTCCTGGTCTATGGGAGAAAACAATAACAGTGCAAAGCTGTGCTCTTTTTCTTTTTAAAAGATTACATACATTTCATTTTATAGACTCTTTTAAAATTTATTTTTATCAATTTTTAAATTAATTTCATCGACACTACAACAGCCTCCTTTTAAAGAGGGACTCTTAATGTTGGCAACGCTTTTGTGTAGGTCTGAGAAGGTAGATTAGAAAGACTCACAGCACAGAGACTAGCCAGGAAGATGTTAGTGGCTATTTCTAAACTGGACTAGGGATTGAAGGGTTTGTAATGACAAGAGCAGGCCTTTGTTAATGGGAAAAATGGCATAGAACTTCCGTGGGCAGATTTAGGATTAAAATTTGAGAGTGCATGTGGGTGGGGCAGGGTGTATCTGGACAGTTGCTATTATACTACATGGTCATGTGATATTCAAAGGAGAGAAGTGGATGGATGAAGTGTCAGGTTTGTGCCTTTTTGCCTACAACTTTAAGTAGTTGATGCATTCATAAATCATAGATAGTCTACTGGATGAGCAATTGGCTAGAGTGAAAAGAAAGTAAGAAAAAAATCAAACCAAATTAATTTGTTGATATACATGTTTGTTTAATAAATGTTCATTAAGTACAGGGCACTTGTATAGATAGCTTAGGGTAATAGAGGTGGAGGGCAGTATGCAGAGCAGTGTAAGTAGTTATGGTTGAATTAGGTTCTAAGTTTTGGGTCCTGAGAAATAACCAATCCAGCCAGATGGCTTTGGAAGCTTCCTGATCCTCGAGCTCACATTGCTCAAGTTGGTCCCCTCACTTCTCTTTTCGGCCTTACAGCCTGAGGACTGAATTCTCACTGCTCTACTGCCTCCCTAGTTCTTCTTACTTTCTCATCTTGTGTAAGCATGGATTCAGGAAACAGTTTTTAGCTAGACTGGTGGTGACAAGAGGACATAACAGGGGCCAGATATTGTAGCAGCCCCATCTTCATCCTGACAGATCCAGGATGGAGCTTGCCTTAGTTTTCTGATGGCTGTTTTCCTGGTCCCACCCATGTTGGCCTCTGTTTCACCTCTTTGTTCTTCTCACCCTGTTCCAGATCATATACTGAGGAAACATTGCAAATAACTGATTTATTGACAAAACTGTGGAGCTCAGCATTTGTAAGTTGGAGCATTCACTGTTTTACAGATGCTGAAAGAGTGTGAAAATTGAATGCATAAGGATTTCTTTCTCAGTGTCCACATAAGCTTTCATAATATAAATTGTCTAATACAATAATGATGGAAGTTTAAAACTGTAATTGATTTAAAACATACAGGAATAATACACATAAACATAAGATGATGTATCTTTGATAGAGATTCTGAGAGGCTCTATAATATAAATTTATAATTATACATTAGACATGTTTTATTCATTATATAAAATTGAATTAATCTTTGGATATTAGAGACAGTCAACATACAAAGAGATTGAAAATTTTAAAAGCTCAGAATATCAAATGGCTTTAATGACAACACAATACTTTATAAATGTAAACATTTTAATTA